TTTATCTCTTTAAATTTTTTTTAATCTTTATTTTTGAGAGAGAGAGAGACAGAGCACAAGTGGGGGTGGGACAGAGTGAGAGGGAGACACAGAATCCAAAGCAGGCTCCAGGTTCTGAGCTGTCAGCACAGAGCCTGACGCGGGGCTCGAAGTCACAAACTGGGAGATCATGACCTGAGCCGAAGTCAGACGCTTAACCGCCTGAGCCATCCAGGTGCCCCTTGTATTTATCTCTTTATATTTTCTAGATATGAATCCTTTTCCTGAATTATATGGAACCATCACTTGTTTTCACTTTATTTGCAGTGGCTTCCTTTGTACACTTACTTTAAGTTTATATATGATCTATTCTCTGAAACTTTTGCGGGGGACAGTATAGAATTTTATATAGGTCTTGGTAGTTAAAAAGCATGTAGAGGAACTATCAAATAAGATTTAAGTCTATCTTCTCATTTTTCTTTAAAATCTTTCTCTTTTGAATTTATTTAGATTTTTCTCCTTGCTGATTTCTCTCAGGATAGAAATAGTCTTCTAAAAGAAGTAGGATAAAAAGTCTTTGCTTTAGAAATACCAAAATACGTGATGCTGAGATAAGAACCAGTTAATGTCAGATATCTTTTTTCCAAACTGAGGGTTCTGTGAAAGTTCACAATTAACATTAGAATATTAAAGACTCTGAGAAGTTCTGTAGAAGAAAAATAATTTGATTTAACTCAATATGGAAAAATTTTTGTTGGACTGAAGAACTTTTAAAAAAATTCCATAGAATATCTCATGACATCTTATGGGATGCTATTGCTTCCATGGAGGCATTGAGAGACAGTCACATGTCACATTAGAAGCAGGGTCCCTGAAACCACAGTGCTCTGAATTACTACCTGAGCATGTTAATTAACTTCTCTAGGCCTCAGCTTTCTCATCTATAAAATGGGGGTATTAGGATTTATTTTGCAGGGGAGTTATAAGGATTGAGTTCTATAAGTGTTAGCTATTACTGTGTAACATTCTGAGGATGCCACTCTTGGAGCATCACTGTAAAGCTGGTAATATTTTTAATTGGCCTCCCTAATAATGTTCAGAGAATCAATACATTGTGAAATTAAAAAAAAATTCAATTATATTCCCATTGAATGTTGCACACAGTTGTCTATGTAAGAATAAACTGCTGTACTGAAAATAATGCTTATAATTTCACACTATCTGCCTTTGAGTCTATCATAGTGACAGAACTATTTATTTCGCTCCCCACGGCGTGTTTATCTCTATGGTCATTCTCACCATTTGACAGTCATGTGGATTCTTGCCTGCTTGTCTATTTGAAAGACACTCCCAAGTGAATTTTGCAAATGCTGTTTCGCCTGTATCCTGAGCATTTCTAAGTCTGCCAGAAATCTCCCTAACTGTTGTGTTGTCATACAGTGACAGAAAAACAGGAAATTGATTTTATTTTTATTAATTTCATCCTAAGGGCACTGCCAGAAGTAGTTCACTTCTAAAGCTGCATTTCAAGTACTCCTTAATAAGATATGTTTAGGTCTTTCCTTCCTTTGACAAAAATATCAACCTGCATGATTTTTAAGTGTGTTACTCAAAAAATATGCTTTTTAAAAAAAGACGTACGTATCTTGGTGACACTGTGAGAATTTTTTATTATTGCGTCTTTTGTGGTGCTCAGCAGTTAATGATCTGTCCCAATCTGTCTATGCTGAAAGGCAGCAGAACGACTTAGGAACAATTCTGCCATCTTTTTGAATAGTTGTGCAGTTTGTCAAGGCTGCTGGCCAAAGAGGGGAAAATCTACATCTAAAATGTTGACGTAGAGAGATATGTTGAAGTGAAAGTATTGAAGAATAAAATAAAAACGGATTCCTTTTCCAAATCTGACTAGTGTTTTCGCAGCACATTTAACGAAAAGAAAGAGGATCGACTCTAGATAAAATGCTCTTAGGGTTATTTTTACTTCTTTTTTCTTACCTAAGTAAAGGGTGTAGAGGGTACAAGATTCTCCAGAAGGGTCTATGAACTAGCTAAAAAGAGGCATCAAGAAATTGTACAAATTTAGGTGAATTCATCCCACGCCAACTGCTGGTCCTCCAAAGGCTCGTACATTTTTTTTTTTTTTTGGTTGGTGTACAGAGAACAGATTAGACATAGGTTCAGACTAAACACAGAGGGTTCCATTGGCAGGACCAGGACATCCACTCCTTAAAAAGGAGAGCTCTATGGGAAGCCAGTCCACAATCAGAAGTGTCCAGGAGGAAGTGAAATTCAAGCAAGAGGATATTTCCCTTTGGTTGTATGATTTGAGTGTGTGTGTGTGTGTGTGTGTGTGTGTGTGTGTGTGTGTGTGTGTGTTTATTGAAATTCTAGTTAACATACAGTGTGATATTAGTTTCAGATGCACAATGTAGTGACTCAACACTTCAATACATCACCCTATGCTCATCACCACAAGCGTATTCCTTGATCCTCATCCTCTATTTAACCCATGACCCCACCCATCTCTTCCTCTGGTAACCATCAGTTTTCTATAGTTGAGTGATTAATGTCATGAAATTTGCCACACTGACACCCCATCCTGCAACATGGAGCATGCGCTGCAGGGAGTAAATGGGTTATTTTCATTTTGAGGCCCGAGTGATTCTCCTGTGCTCAGAACCTGGATGGGCATCGTCAGCCTCTAGCTCCTTAGATCTCCTATGTCTATGCCCAGGCTCACTTTCTCCTCTGCCCCATATTTCTCCAGGACTGTCACCAGTTAGATTCCATCCTGTTAAATGCACAGTCCAGTCCTGCCGCCTGGAGGACACACACTGATTTTCTTAGTAAAGTTTTGGCTACTTCTTATCTATCTCTTTGGCCACTCATTCATAAATCAGCTCTGTCAGTCCTGGTACAAATGAGAAAAAATCCAATTAGGGCTAATTTTGTTAATTAAAATCTTACAGGGAAATTTTATTTCTTTTATATCCTTGTCTGATTTCCCATCTTCTCTGTCACCTTCAGATGCTCTGCCACGGTGTCACTGCCCTCCCTCTTTTTATTCTCTTCACTGGGCAGAGCCATGAACCTTTAGAGGGCAGGTCTGCATTTCCAACCAGCGAGGATAACCATAAGCTTCAGATCAAACATTTTTGTGGCTCCCAACCCCTTGGATAATCTCTAAATACAATTCTATGGAACATTCACATATGACTTTCTAAATCTGACATTTCGAATATAAATATGTCCTAAGTGAACCAGGCTATAATTATAGCATATTCATTCATTGAGTTACCAAGTGGTTTTTCCATTTCAGTGTGAAACCAGATGAACCACACAAGGGGTGGAAAAACCAGTTCCTCTCTTTATCTGAGGAGACCACAGTGGACAGTGATGCAAAAACCAAACCATTAACCTTTCTGAAGAGCCCTTTTTGCTCTAACCTTGTGGCTTTCTGTTCTTGTCAGCCTTGGGGCTCTCTGATCCCTGCTGCCTCTAGGACTTTGGAGATGGAAGAAAAGGCCTCGAGTCAATCTGGAAAGTCTGTGCTGACCAGGGCAGTTTTCTCAGAGGGGCTAGCTCTTGACCTATAGGAAGAGGTTCTGTTCTGAGTCATTTCAGCAAAGTTATGGTTTGGTGTATACTGTATAAAACAGACACCTAGGGACTTTGAAAAGTTAGGCTCTGGACAAGATCCTGTCCTTTCATATCACCTGAGATTTTGATGTCAGCCTAAACTTAGGGCAACTGGGAGGCCCCAAAGCAGCCTTTGAGTAGGTATCTAATTATGCTTGGAAACTGGCTATAACCAAGCAAGCCAAGCATAACTTGCATGTAGACTGTAGTCTGTAGACCTGGGAAGGAAGCTGAGGGACAAGGTCATGGGATGAGGCCACATCAGAAAACCAGATAGATCACTCTGAGAGTCCTCATTCGTAAGGGGATGTACAGAGAGAATCCAGGTACCAAGCCAGTGAAAGAATGTGCTCAAGAATTAGGGTGAGGAACGCAGCCTGGCGTGCTTCTTATGTTGACATGGGGTAGTTTTGTAACATCTGTTTCACAGTATGTAATACACACCTGGAATAATTCACAAATCTGTACATCATGAGATATAAACACTCATCTTGAGAACAAAACATTATCCAATATGGTTGAAGTTCCTGTGTTCTCTTTGATTGGATCTCTGAATTCCCCATGAAATCCCTTGTATTTATACTACAAATGTATATATTCCTAAATTAGATATAATGTTGTAACAAATTGTTTCCTTCACACATATGGCATCATTCTGCATGAATTCTTCTGTAACTTGATTTTTTCCCATTCAGTGCTATGTTTGTGAGAAACATTCCAGTTGATACACGTAGCACCGATTTATATTTGTCTTGACAGCAGTGCTCTTTGCACAGTGGTCCTAGTTGGGGGAAGAAGGGAAGGAATAGGAGGGAACCACTTAATGGACAGTCCAGTCTGTGCACTTAGTGTCCCCCAATCGTGATCCCGTTCACCCATGGGTCAGCCACAAGGGTGGTAACAGCACTGGCTGGAAAAGGAAATTAATTATAATGGAAGAAACTGAATTTGCACAAAGAACCTGGAATCAAGGAAGTATAAATCATATTTCATGGTAATAAAACACATAGTAATTATTTAATGGTTGCATGTTGATTTTTTTTTTTTTTTTGAGTAAAGTAGATCACTGTTTCAAAACTTAGACACTATGCGCTATGGGAACATGGCCTAATTAATTCTAAATAATTTTTCTCTCCTTTGCTTTCTCTTTCTTCCCTTTGTGTTCTGTATTCTACCCCAGGTCATCTGATTCCTGCTTTGTAGCATTCTGAAGGATTGACCTTCTTGGAATGTAATCCCAGTGGCGTCTCTTTTCTGTGTAGCCCACTCTGCCATCAAAAGGCCGAGTGACTCCGGGTTGATCAGGGGTGCCTCAAGAATTGCGGATATCACTTCACCTGGAAGATTCACCCACTGCTACTCAGAGCGGTTTCTGAAATACCATGTCTAAGAACTCGGAGTTTATCAATCTGTCATTTTTGTTAGATCATGAGAAGGAAATGATCCTGGGAGTCCTAAAGAGAGATGAATATTTGAAAAAAGTGGAGGACAAGAGAATAAGGTAATATTCTTTTCTCTTTTCTGCCCTTCCCGACTGCTGTCTGTTGGAAGCAAGCTAGATTAGAAATTGGGCAACTGCGACCCTACTGGAGACAAATGTTGGTCAGTGCCTTCGTGGGTTCCCAGCAGTAACCCACATATTAGAAAACATCTTTGATGTTTTATCACTTAGCTGGATTGAAGGATGGAATTGAGCAAATAATATAGTGTTTTTTTCAAAAAATATTCATGTTTATTTTTTGAGAGAGAGAGAGAAACACAGAGCACGAGCGGCAGTGGGGAGGGCAGCGAGAGGGAAGACACAGAATCTGAAGCAGGCTCCAGGCTCTGAGCAGTCAGCACAGAGCCTGATGCTGGGCTTGAACTCACAAACCATGGGACCATGACCTGAGCTGAAGTCAGATGCTTAACCGACTGAGCCACCTAGGCGCCCCAGGGATAATACAGTGTTGATGAGAATGCCCATTCACTAATACCATCATAAGTAGTAGTTAAGTGGAAGGACTGCCAAGGTTTGAATTCCAGCTCCTGGATGTATTAGTTGTGTGACCTTGAGCAAGTTACTCAATTTTTCTGTGCCTTGGTTTCCTCATCCATAAAAGAAAGATAATAAAAGTGCCCACCTCAGAGCATCATTGCAAGGATTAAGGAAGATAATACATGTACAGTGCCTGGTACCTAAGTTCACAGTTATTTATTTATAATGCCTTTCTCAGGTCAGTCTTTCTGGGAATTTGTTCCCACCATAGCTGAGAAAAGAAGAAGAGGATCTGGAGAGTGAAAAATTCTCATTTTACCCCAGAAGTCGCCTGAATTTTTAAGAATAAGTTTCTAGGGGTGCCTAGATGGCTCTGTCAGTTGAGCGTCTGACTCTTGATTTTGACTTAGGTCATGATCCTAGGGTTGTGAGATCGAGCCCCCCATCAGGCTCTGCCCACCCTGAGCATGGACACAGCTTAAGATTTTCTTTCTCTGTCCCTCTGCCCCTCTCCCCTGCTCGCATGCTCTCTTTCTCCCTCTGAAATAAAATTTAAAAAATAATATGTCTCTGTATGAGTAACATGGAGAAATATGGGCACAGTTGAGTTTCACATCAATTGTAAGCAAGGTTGATATTTAGCTGGATCCCCAAGCATGACCTTCCCTATGTTTCAGCTAGCATCCATTCTGATTGGTTGCATCTTCTGTTCTCAATGGTCACAGCCTTGTTCTGATTGGTTGTCACATACATTGGGATTGGTTGCAGCCTGTACTGTGCTGCTTGTGAAACATATTTAGATATTACATCTCACCCTGATGAGAGGAGCAGAAATAAACACAGTTCCCTTCTCAATGACCACCTACTGTGCAACATATAGATTTTGTGTTTTATGTGTCTCTCCAGACTGCAGTTATTCTGACCACAATGCTGTGAAACTAGATGTCAACCACAAGAAAAAATCTGGAAAGACCACAAAAACAAGTTTATTCTCTTTTTTTTTACTCAGGAGAAAACTTGTCATAAGATTATCTTTATATATTGCAAAAGTATTCAATGTGCCTAAAGGAACCAGGATCCTAGAATTGGAAATACATTGAAATATTCTTGATTGATGCTTACTTCATAGTTAAGAGCCCAGAATTTTTATTTTCATCACTAATAGGATTCAACCAATCTTAAAGAAATAAAGGCTTTCATGAAAATTATTGCAATTTTTCTATGCCTAGAATTCAGGTTAGTGCAGTTAATGATTTTTAAAGAAATCAGAAATTATGTTTCTGGCATTTGTATTCCAGTCACGAAAACTGACTAAATTTTCTATTCTGCAAAAAGTTAAATTGTTTATGCGAGGTGAGGTACTAGCTAGTAACTGATAACATGCTGTGGGGAATTAAAAATCACTCTATTCAGGAAAATACAAAATATTTTTTTCTTTGTTTTTTTAAGTTTTATTTATTTATTTTGAGAAAGAGACAGACAGACAGTGAGTGGGCAAGCAGAGAAGGGGCAGAGAGAGAGTCTCAAGCAGGCTCTGTGCTGAGAGCACAGAGCCTGACACAGGGCTCAAACTCACGAACTGTGAGATCACGACCTGAGCCAAAATCAAAAGTTGGACACTTAACCCACTGAGCTGCCCAGGCACCCCAGGAAAACCCAATTTAATAACCAGATCCTCACAAACACTGAAGTAAATGAATAGGGATTTGTTCAGAATATTTGCTTCTGTCATTCACAATATCTTTTCCTAATAATCTGTTTTACTCTGTTTTCCTTGTTTTCTTTCTTCCCTTGCCTTTTTTCCTTACTCTTTATAAAGAAATGTAGGCAAATGTGTAACATACAACAGAGCTATTGAGAATAAAGTTGTTGATTTCCTGGCCCTTCAAACTTGTTTCTGGAAAGCAGAAGAAAGGCTTTAATAGATCTAAGAGATACTTTTATAGAAAATAGATATTTTTAAAGCTACTATATCTTGTTGCCTTCTTTAATAGCAGCAGTGGCTAATATTTTGTTGAGTTATTTTATGCACTAACTGTATTAGATATGTTGTCTCATTTTGTCCTGAGCTACCAAGGTATGAGCTCAAGCCAGATAACTCAGGCTCTGCTACTCTTTTTTTTTTAATGAGAGAGAGAGAGAGAGAGAGAGAGAGAGA